AATATAAAGTTATTAGTGAAGAAAACCTATCTGGATAACAGCAGACTGACTGCTGGTAAAATATACGACAGGTCTGGACCACTATTGAAGCAAATTTTGTTCGTATCTGAAAAAAATCTTAGAAAACGAAAACATTGGTGAATGCCACAAATTCTCCTAAATCACTCGTACGCACAACTTAAGAACAAATCTGTGCGTACGAACGGTTCTTGCATGAGGCCCAATATTGTGGAAGTTTTGAGTAGAACTCAAGTTCTACTGAAAACCACGCAGACCGTGCAGATCTGAGTAGAGCTGAAGCGTGCTGGGGTGAGACTGGATGAAAAAAACCCAGCAGATGGAAACATACAGTCCTGTGCAAAAGTCTTGAGCCATCCCTTCATAACTGTCCAGGCCGTCTTTAATTCCTTCAGTGGTTTTGATTAACTAGCTTCAGACTCTCAGAAGATTTTTCAAAACTTTTCTTTAGTTTTTTTCTGCTTATTCACTCGTTTTACAGTAGTGTTTTACTTTTAATTGTCAACCCCACAAAAAGTCAGAAAACTCCTAAAAAGTAAAACAGTTTAGACAAACACAGAAAGCCAAGGAACTGTTGATCAAGATAACTTTAAATTATTAGAGGAATGTTTGGCTCCTTAGATGAAAAATACAAAGAACCAGAGGTGATTTACAGTAATGTTTGTACACTGCTGTATAATCTGTGCAGTGTGTTGAAATAACAGATCTATGTACAGTAATAGTACTGGTGGAAGCTGAATGTTGTAGAAGATTATGAAAGAGAAAAGACATTAAAACAATAGTGTTTTTTTTGGTTGCGTGAATTATAGAGGCCTGTTTATTACCTGTTTTGCCAACGGGCTGGTATATGTGCTGGTTTCCTGTCTRCACAAACAAACAAACGAACAAAACACTGGGTTAACAAGTGCATGTAATCACAGACTCTGCAGGAAATTGAAATATGACAGGCAAAAACCACAAAGTTAAAGCAGAGTTTGGAAAATAATAGAGAATCCTGTTTAACGTTGTCACCAAGTCTCATTTAGTTCACAGGAAGTCGTCTCTGCTCGAGCTGCTGCTGTTTTCAGTCTGGTGTGTGTGCTGTGTCATGTTTGTTCATGAACATTCAGGGACAAGAACTGCTTCTTTCCCTAAAGCTCACAGTTCAAACTATAACAGAATCAGGCAGCGTGTTTTTGTTTCTGCATCTTTGCTGTTTTCTCAGTGTGAGAAACGGCTCTAAAGTCTCCAAATACCCTGGTGCCATCAGAGTGTTGTGGCCTGACAACCACTGACACCCAAAAATACAATACTGCAGCAATTTCCACACACAGGTCTGGTTTGTATATCCCCATGGGGACCGTGCATTGACTTCCATTCATTGTTTGGAAATGTTGTATCCTAACCCTGACCACTTACCCTAAAACTAAACTCAATTCACACCTTGGTCCTAACCCTAACCCCCCCACTCGGAATTTGCATTTGAACCTGGTCCCCACGATGCACGTTTGATACCCACGAGGCTGCTTTTTCAGGAAAATTGTCACCACGGTGTAGGAAAAACAAGGCCACATAGACACACACACACACACACACACACACACACACACACACACAC